GTCTAATGATTTTTAATTATTATAAGTGAAAATAGCAATTTAATTTATTTGGTTTCATTTGACTTTCAATTTTAATAAGAATTTTTCTTAGGATTTTAATCGTGAAGCTTATTAGATTACATTTTTGTGTTGGTATAGTATGTAAATCTATTCCATTAGCCTGTAAATTTATGACTGTAATGCGGACTAATTAACGCTAATGCAGTCAATTTCTTGTAAGGACCATCGATCCTACGGCATGCAGTCTGTCATTGCGTTGTGTAGATGATCAAGACTTCTTTATATCGGCACGTACCTATAAATGAACATGTCGACCAAATAGTTCAAATATTAATAAAAAATAAATAATCCCATTCTACATAAAAATGCGATTTGCCTCCTATTGAACGCGTCGATGGCTATGGGACGGATAACCGTATGCTAGTTTTGTAAATCGGTCATTCTTTTGAAATTTAAAACTTTTCAATTGTCTCAACGTGTTAAAAATTATTCCAAACGTAGCAGCATCATCTAAATCTTTATTCTAATTGCATGCAATGATCAAATTATTCTCCAATAATTGATTTTATGACTACAGATCTATTTTCTCAGTCAACTACTTCAGTAACAATTTTAGCTCACTTAAATAATTATTTGTTCTAGAACAGAGAAATTCTTTGATCACACTAGAGCTGGGAAGTAGCCGCTATCATTCATCGGTAAATTAATGTTATCAGAAAGCTTCGTCACCACTCAGCTGTTGACTTCAGTGCCATTGACCTGCGATCGAAAATCGAATTATAGAATGTCTATTATTTCATTGAATAAAATCATTGTTATTTGAAAAGTCCAGGCCTGAACCTTCGTAACGAAAAACGTTACTTTTTTGAGTTCGACAGTATTTCTTTGAGTCGAAAAACAAACTTATAATATGGTAGCACGATCTGATCATTTAGTAAAAACCAGCACTCCTATTTTTCGATACACAATTACTTACTAGTTAAAAATAGCATTAAACTCAAGAGTGATATCAAGACTTGAATTTATTCATACGTAGTCTGCAGTAAAAAGCGACGTTTCTAACTGTCCCACATTTCAACCTCGACAATGCGATCAAGTCTGAGGTATTATTATGCAAGAGTTCACAGGGTCATGTTCACTCCCAAGGCGCTTGTGTGATCCTGAGCCACTTAACGATGGCATTATCTTACTGCTGCGGTGATCACCAAAGTTGACAATAGCGGCGCAGTGACGCTCTTTACGAAGGATGTCTCTGTAGCGCGTCTCTGACGATCTCAATGTGGCTTAAGTTCGCACGCTTCCCATTTTTACGTCGTGTTTTTTCACAGACGTAATTGCGTGATGGTAACCGTGTATGAGCCGCTACGTGATCTGATAACCGCGCCTTTCCCAGCACCGAAGAACGTGACCGACAAAAATTCGTTAACCGTACCGTATTCTGTCGTTTTTTTCGAAGCCGAACTAGAAAGTTTGTATCTACGAAGATAAGGAGAATTTTTTTCATTTATGATTCGCATTTTCCTGTAGTTACTATGGCTAGCTACACACAGAAATATCTTGTGCCTCGTATTCAATACGTCAGCGCATTGTTTATCTAATCACCTTGGTTCTCATGGTTTGATCCCGTAACCATTGCATAATGTTTCCTGTCACGGTCATCCAAGTAACTGTGAGGTGCAAGACTGACGTCAAATCCAAGTCTGATTTTAAAATCAATGATTTCACCGGACGTTGGAGGATAATATCATCCATGTAGCTTTCCTTTAACAGTGGGGAGCGAGAAAGGACTATATTATGTTTATTGATGTATGTAGGTATTACAGTTTTTGATACAAAATTAAAGGTTACATAAAAGAAATACCTAGTTCATTTTAAAATAAATGCTAATATTTTTGTTCAATGGTTCGTCTCTTTTACTTTACGCAACATCTGCATCATTTGAAACGAACTAGATTCTATATCTAAAAATTCATCCCGAAGTTCATCTGCTGAGGTGAAAAATGGACAAAAATTGCGACTTTCTTAGCCAATTGCTAACTTTCTTTCCTCAAGCGGCGCCAAAATAGCTCCCAACACACTAAATGTTCGTTACATTCGCACCCAATACTTATCAGGTTGATTACTCATCGCGGTTGATTACACACTTCCACTTTAAATGCTCCCCAATCGCAACGCCTCATTTCATCTACTGCTTTTAATCAAAAAATTTTCATGCAATTCGGCTACCTAAACGATGAATGAATGAGTGAACGCTTTTTGGCACACTATTAATTACTAAATTTGGTCAATCATAACTCGTGTGCCAATGTTATCGAAGTTTTAAACTCAGGCTTGGAATTTGGAACTATTCGTTTTCCCCTAATTTCTGTCTTAAATGCACTTCGTTTATTATAAATTTGAGGCAATTAATTTATTTTCAACGGTAGGAAGTTCTAATAAATGAACAACAATACTTCACCCAGTACGACCGTACTTCACACAGTAAAATTGAAGTCTTTGCGTTTTTTAGTACGTCGATAATTATTTTGCGACTTTTAACAACGTACCAATTTAAAATTCAAATGTCCATTTTTGATCCGAAATTTTCCTCTCACTCTAATGTTTTCCAAGCTGATCAAGAGCAAATACTTTTAAGCCATCGTTCAAAGGACTGGCTGTAGGGTTCGAGCCTCAAGGGACAATTGTGACGAGAGAGACTACGCATGCTATGTAGGAAGGGTATCATCTGCAGAGTTCATCTACCTCAGCCTCCCCGCTCCCCATGAATGATGAAGGGGCCGCGAGCCTCTCGTGTCAGAGTCCTTTCACGATTACAAGAAAAATGATCCCGACGCACTTTGCTCCGAATCTCGTGGCAAGCTAATGTAAGGGTTTGGAAACTCAATTGTATGCTGCTTTAAGTTTTTCTATAAAAAATTGAAGCTTGTGGGCATTTCAATATCGTGCGCGTATAAAATTTGTGTACAACAATTCCAGTTTAGGTCAGGATCGAGGTTATGCCGTGCGTACGTCCCATTACAAACTCCATCAATGTCCGTCAAAAGTCTACGTACGGAGATGCGTCTTCATGTCTCAGTCTTGATTTCAGATAGCTATAATATTTCTTTCTGCAATTGCTGTATTTCATTAATTTTCATGAGTAGATGTGCAGCGGCAACGATTTCTTTACAAGTTGATTCAAATATTTGATTCATGCTTAAATGTACATAGCGATATTGATTAACGAATATTTGTGAACAAAATTAGAGATTTATTTCTTGAATTGTTGCAACAATTCTACGAGTGGATGAGGAACACACTAGTTACTATAACTTCTGTACTCGAGCGACATTTTTTCATGCTGAAACTTAGAAAACGTTGTTCAAAAATTCTTCTCTCATTAAAAGTGTCTTCCTTATTTTTCGCAAGTTTTGTTTGAAATAAAAAATTATTGCAAGAGAAATATGGTATTACTTGAACAGAATTCTTGCCATGTTTTGTGTTCGTGCAAAACGTCGAGGTATGTCAGCCCTGAATAAAGATTGCGAGGGCACAACCTAATGATAAGCTCCTAATATCTTACAGGAAATGATGTTTTTTAGCCACTGAATCAACCAGGAAAGAAAGGACTCCACTTGTTCTAAAATTCAATCCTTGCAGGCTTTGTCTTATTAGGAATTCAGACAGAATTAAGTAGAACGGATGTCGGAGCCCCTACAAGAAGAACAATTTAGGCTTTCTTTTCCAATTTTTAGGCCAAGCTTGCGCCGAAGTTATGGTTTGCGAGGAAATAGAAAACGCTGTGGTAACCTGTCGTGCGCTGGAAATACAATTATTTAATTGAATGAATAATTTTTCGTAACATAGATAAATTACACGATGAAATCGAAATTTAATGTAGTTAGACACTCAGACACAACTTCTTTATAAGTGTCCTGTAATTTTTATTGATGACCAAATCCCTACCTAAAGAAGTAACACAAGTAAGTAAACAAGTTGACGTTATCAGTTATTACGGGAAAACAAAAATTCGCTGTCGATTAGGAAATGAGCAGATTTGAAACAAAATCTGCGATTGAAATGCAAACAAATCAACTTTAAACAAAAATTTTGCTCAAAGCGGAAAGTTGATTATTTTATTTGGGTTCACCGCAGTGACCGCTTATTGCTTTGTACGAGTATTGCTAAATCAATTTTTATAAATATGCGTCTCATTTCTTGTAGATGTTTTTGAATTACGCTAAATACTCAACGCAATTATTTGCTGCGTGACACATGGACTACACATAACACACGGACTACACAGAACACATGGACACACGGACTACACAGAACACATGGACACATGGACTACTCAGAACACTTACACAGTGTACACAGTGAGAGTTGACACAGTTTTCAGGCAATGTTGTTGAGGCGTCAGCGCACGCGCATGGCAGCTGTTGCAGTCGTCTATGATACAGCAATTATGTTAGGTTTTAACACCTCGACTTAAGACATGTGTGTGATGAGCACAGTTTTATATCTACTGTGCTTCAATTTTCAACCGAACTTGTACAAACTAATGATTGAATGATGCCCCAGCTGATTGTGAACTTCATTCAACGAATCAATTAAGTGTGATCGTGCGGGAAGGGTGCCTATGGTTAACATGTCGGGTATCCTCACTCTTTTAGCTTTAGAGAAAATTGAGAAGAGTCAGTAGAGATGAAACTGAACATTACTAAAATTAAAAGATGCGGTATTTAGGAGAACGAAATCAGGAAATTACTACAAATGCTCTGCTCGAAAAAGACTCGAGCGTTAACCAGCGTCGTGGCACATTATGACATCATGCTAGTGAGATACATTTTCGCCAATACCCACAGTCGTCAAACGTCTTCATAGTGATTTCATTTCCTTTAAAACAAATTACGCTTAATTTAAGAATGCTGAAGACTTTTAACAGAGTTTTTTGCCTTTATAATGTGATTTTTTATTACCCACCACATTTGTATCGGTTAATATTATCTTCTTTTCAGGTGCGGCTATCTCGCTAGTTGACTTCTTGGAGGCAGTGGGCCACAGCGAAGCTGCGGCAGCGGTGAGACAGCGCATAGAGAACAAGATCACGGTGCCGTACTTCTCACCTTCATTACCCTCCACTTTTTCGGACCCAACTGAGGGGCAATTATCGATTGCAGACGTATTTGCTACACTTCCAGGTATAAATTTACCCCACAACCTACGCTCTGGCGCAAATTCAAAAAGAAATTCCACTATTGCATCCAGTTCAATTACAGTTTCAGAATTTTCCGGCGGCTTTAGACTCAATGTTCCGGCCAATTCAAGCAATTCACTGAGGAGTGAGCATGAAGCACTCGAGCTGCCGTTAACAGAATCGGAAAGCAATAAATATGATGCAGAGGAACAATCTATTGTCATGAAGGACTTGGAAAATGAAGACAGTCTTGCTGAAGATGAAGAATCAATTGGTAGTGATTATTTCTCTCTCCACACTTCCTCTGATTCGCTTACGTCAAATGACCAAGTTGAAACCACAGAAGACCTAGAATTGCTGCCCATTACCTCAAATTCCCCAATTTTGTCGCTTTTAGAGATGGATGAAAAATCAAGCAGAATAACTAATCCATCTTCAACGACGGCAAATGCTACAACGAAGACTTTTTCTTCGACAAACGGTCCCCACAACAGTGTTCATCCGCCCCAGCAATCTGCCACGGTTGAGTCGGGGAAGACTGTCAACGAGGTTGCGAATTTTGTAAATTCGTCATCTGCGAAAAACGGATCTCCAACAAGTGCGCTCGATCATTTGCCGGTCATATCTGTAACCACAGTGTTGAATCAGAAAACTAGTGAACGTATGAACTCTGTCTTAGCCAGTGCCAGCATCGTAACCCCTGCTCTGGTCTCAGTGCAACAGCAGGTTAGTTCAGCAAGGCGCATCCAACGGTCTATCGATTACGATGTATTATCAGCTGGAAATGATGCTGGAACGGAATTTCCAAGTTTGATGACACTAGAGGGACGATCAGCGAATAAATTGAAGAAAGGCAGTCGTCGTTCTGATCCTGAACCTGACATTGACGATATTATACAAGGCATTATGCAACTTCTTGGAGGAAACGTAAAAATTGATGCTGATTCGAGCGCGCACACTCATTTAACAACTTTTGGCGGTGGACAACCAGTTAGCAGTACCCGTACTAACGACAGAGGCCCACCGAGGATGCCTTTGAACCCGTTCAATTTCTTCAACGGCAGACCAACACAAACACGGCCTCCAGTCCGAAGACCAGCTTCGGAATCTCCAACGGGAATCGCGTCCCCCGGGAGACCTTCATTTATGGCCAATACTCTACCACCCTTCATAGCTACTCTCCCTCCTCAGCTTGATACTCCACGACTTCATCTTCAAACGCATGAAAGTCCCGTGCAAACAGCCTTTCTTATGCCCGAGGCTATGATCCCTCCATCATCAGGAAGTGAAGTTTCGTCATCCTCGCCCATGTTCCCATCATCAATTTCGACGATTTCCTCCACATCTTCCACAATTTTGGCTGAAAACCCAACCGAAGTTAGTTACGAGGGTGAAACCACTGAAAATAATCTCAAGCATGAAACATTTCCTCCTCTGCAACCCAGCTCCTCAGAACCAGAGGTGTTATCGACGGAAGCGACAACTCCTATTTTACAAGATGATGTGAACGAAAAACCTACGGACACTGTTTATTCCATTGAAACTGATGGCTTTGATTTAGAGCCATCCATTGGTACAAAAGAGTCAACAGATACTGTTAACTCGATCTATAACTCTCCTCTCCCACCCGACTTAATTTCAAAAATTAGAAAATCTCCATCTTTTACAGAAACTAGTAAGTCAAAGAAAATTTCATCAACTATTAGTCCCACTGTGGCCATTTCAAATATCTCTCAAATTGACACAACAATGTCAAGCTCCAAGCAGTCTATTCACGGCACCACTTCACCAGGATTATTCTCCTTTACACCGACTAGGTCACCCGAGGTTCAGTCTCCACCTCCTCAGCTCCCAGTGAGATCTCATGTGCCCGTCCAAAGACCTCAATACCCCCAAAGTATTTCCCACACCAGAGTTGTTCCTCCAGCAACTGTAAACCATGGTCCTAGACCGGGGATGGTTCTGGATGCTGAATACCACCCTGCCCATGTGGTCACCGCACCAGTTCGACGACCCACGGACCTCCACGGCGAAGTGTTTGACGTGACCGTGTCTGCTCAGCAAGGTTTCGGCGGCCAAGTTAGCCCAGTCAGGCCTCCTCATTATCCATCCTACTTCCCGCGGCCTCCTTATAACTATCAAGGTAAGAGATGAAACCGTTAACATTGCAATGGTTGACAAATTCAAAATTTTCATTTTGCACCCATATATAAATAAATTTCCATAATGAGTTATTTTGATGCATAAATTTTTGATTAAAACGATATTTATATAGCCTCGGAAATTAATATTGAGTTTTACCTTCCTATATTTTTAAGAGTTATACTTAAAGCAAAATGCTTTCGTATTTTGCTCCGTCAAAAGAAAAGATAGAATTGATATGATGAAAATGAATTATCAACAGTTAAGTATTAATCAATATAATGTACTGGCAAGCAAACTGTAGTTGGTGAAACTGGCGGTCAGCGACCGGCGATCAGCGCGATGTATTGGCCAATTCAGAACCGAGCGCGGCCCCTACATGGCCATTACCCCAAACCGTCTTTAACGCCTTGGCCGCCGCTCGCCAAGCTCCTAGTTATTCTGACTGTCATTTATTGTGACCGTCATTTCCTGGGTCAGCAGTTACGAGCATTTGGCAGCGTTCAGAAGGATGAGTGATATGTGGGACGGTGAGGTTGAACGGTCGACCTGTAGCCTCGTATACTGAAATGTGTAGTGAAAGAAATATGACGTGAAGAGCCGAATTGTGGAATACTGACCTGAGTGTCCCAATTTAGACTTACAAATTAATATGATAATTGGTCTTCCTAGCGAATGAATTGATCTAAATTTCGAAATAACTATTTTCCTATACAAATTTTTATTGGCAAGAATATTTAATCATGAAACTTACTCTATACTTCCTAAAAACATAGACCCAAAATTCTAGAAAAGTTAAGTCAAATCATTGTTCCATGCCTCAAATCTTTCGGAAGTATCTAAAAAATTTGTCTGGGCTAGCCGTGTTTCGTGGCGCGGACGCTCAGCAGCTGAACTGACGCAGGATAGACCGGAAGGCTGTCCTGCTTGCCGTGACACCTGTGCGGTCTCTGCAACAAGCGAGTCAACGGAAGTTGCTGGAGCGCAAAATTATTTGGCTAGATTAGGTTGAAGCATGAAAGATGCTGAGCGTTCTTACGTTCACTAATTGATTGCAATACGTAGTCAAATTTGCTATTTTTATATCAGGTAAAGAGAAATTTTACATTCATATTATTTTGACTCCAGGTGGTGAGTGAGGTGCATGTCGTATTTAATACATAAAAAACGTACAAAAATTCGTGGGAGGAATAACAGTAATGTTGCTACAGAGGCTGGGGACCCGCTGCTGGTGACGCCGACAGGAGGGGACGATGGCTTCGTGTCCATCGACGGCCGCAAGACATACTTCGACCTGTTCCCTACCGCCACCGCCAAGCCGCTGCCCCATCAGGTAAGAAATTTGCAAGATAAAATTCATTCCTATTGGGCATCTGGCGTTGAAATAACATTGATCAAACGTTGTATCAATGAATTTAGCTCGTAATCAAGGTGGTTTTAACGTTATTTGGTTTAATGGAATTATTTCAGCGCATATTAAAATAGGTCCTATATATAGCAATGGTGCATTCATTCTTCAGTAAAAGCTGGGACGCGATGCTTTAAGTTAGTTCGAGTATACAAAGTTTGATGATGGGAGCTACATCTTGCTCGACTTTGTTCTTTGGTTTTATCAATTGTATAAAATGAACGAAAATGGCTGTAGCTGTTTAGATACCTCATTGTTTTTAAAACTTTGAGCTTAATATTTGATGTGTTTCACTTTACTTTCTCATATCCTTATCTTATAATCCACGGCCATAGACCGTGGGGCTGGGAGTTGGTGTGGTCATCCCCGAAGAGGATATGATAGACGGTGAATTCCCCGACGACCTGAACGTCGGGCCGCCCTACAGCATCCCCTCAAACCCCAGCGGGATAACTGGGCCTATGGGGCCGGTTCCTCCTCAGGCGCCCCAAGAGCCTGGTCTTCCAGGACCTTATCTCTCGTCCCCTCCTTCTGTGCCTCCGTCGTCCATAGGCACTCCGCTGCCCTTCAAACGCCGGCCCTCCACTCCCTCCATCAGGTATCAGACAGGGAAACATCACAGCGAAATATTCTGAAGGATTTATCATAGGGAAAATTCTCAGGTAAATGTCCGATGTGAATTTCCAGGGTAATAGCTCATTGAAATATCCTAATGTGATATCCTGCGTAAAAACTGCGGGTTTATATGTTTTATATTGAAGCCTTCACATTTTGTACCGTCAGAAAATACTACGTGGAATAAAGGAATAAAAAATTCATGTTGAATATTCGAAATTAATACATTTAAAATGATATTACTGACGATTTGGAAGCTCTCCTGGCATTAGAAATGGATGGACTAAGTGTGCTATGAAAGGTTCTGTGCACAATCTTGAAATTATTGTCGATTGTGTTAACTGTGTGCGTTCAAGAATATGTATACTCGTTTCCAGTCCATAATTGAACAACATGGATAACCTATAGCAGATAGATATATGCATTAACAGCCAATATGTCCATGAAACTATCCTCACACAACTTTTGAATTTTATTTCCATTATTGTTGTATTTTATTTTGATGTTGTTTTGTTTTTTCTCCAAATACTTGTTGCATATACCTATAAAATTTCAAGCCTTTCAATTGTTTCTAATATTTTTATTACAAATTAAACTCAGAACCATTTCTCTTTTACAGAAAAAATGTAAATTCGATAAATTTTCATTATAGTTAAAAACAAGCTGGTTAGCTGAGGCTTGATAACAATCGAAGAGCTTTCATCTCAAAATTCCCGGTTTTTCAACTATTCATACTAATATACCGCACCTACGATTTTCCTTTGTTTATAACTATTTGCAGTATTTACCCCTAATTTTCCCTATTATATTAGTATTTGCCAAAATTTGAAAGTATTTTCACAAATTTGACAGGGAAAATACTTTCCCTATTTTATAGGGAAAATACTTTCTCTAAAAAATATTTATTGATAAGTATTTGTAATTGTTTTCCACTGCAGGATCGACACGTGCATCGTGGGCGACGACTCGACGTGTCAGGAGCAGCTGCTCGAGGTGTGCAGGACGGAGGGCGACGTCTCCTCCTGCTACTGCAAGCCTGGCACTGACAGGCGGCGACCCCGCACACCCTGCAAGAGTGAGTTGTGGTGGTGGTGGTGTGTGTTGCCAGAAATGGCGCTGCTGGAGATGTCCATCAAAGTCAAGTCATTTGTTTGTTGCCAGAAATGGCGCTGCTGGAGATGTCCATCAAAGTCAACCGCGTGGGCCAGCAGCGCATCGCCTGGAACGGCAACTACGCCAACCCCGCGTCCGAGGAGTACCAAGTGCTCGAGTGGGAGGCGCAGAAGGCGGTCGGTATAACATGCTAATAAATTTTCTTATCAATTTTGATAGAGTAAAATATAATAAAAAATTATTATTTCAATACTATTTCATATCTGTGAGAAATTTTTTTTTTTTTTTCAATACCACTTATGATTAAATAAAATACTCTTACAATTTTTTTTCAATATCGCATCTGAATCAGTAAAATAGGTTAGACATTTGCAGCGTCGTCATGAAGAATTTTCTTTATGATATATCTTCGAGTTGCTGTTACAATTTTAGGCAATTTTTTCGAAATATTATTTATTTAATTGAAAAATTTGAAAAATCTGAACTAAGTCAGAATATATTAACATTGCAAATACTTTGACAATTTTGAACCATGAGATGAATGTCTTTTAGTACTTAAAATTCTTTTTGGCTGTGAAAATTATTCTCTTTGCTGTATGCACGGTGAGAGAATAAATAATTCGCGTACAATCATGTATTCATCTTCTCCTATTCCTACAACTGCTAAAATAAAAGTCATACCTTCCAATCTTCATTTGCAGATCGAGAGCGCATTCAAGAAGTCGGCGCTGAAGTCCGTGTACCTCGGCAGCACCGTAGAGAAGTTCTACCCTCTGGGGGGCAACGTGATCATCAACAGCTCCATCAAGCTTGAGGACAACCCCAACACCCGCAGCAGGGACATCAAACGCAGCCTGCAGCGACACATCATTAAAGTTATTCAGGCACACAACAACAACATCGGCAGCTCATCCCTCTGGGTGGACGGTCCACTCAACCCCATCCCTCTGGTGGACGGTTAGAACTGTATGAATAGAATGTATAATACAGTAGTTTTTCTCTCTGGGTGGACGGTTAGAACTCCATAACTTTAATGTATTGTATATTATATTACTAGAAACAAAAAATATACGTAGTTTAATTTACGTTCACGTGTAAATTTCTAACAATCTCGGCTTTCCTTTGTATGAATATATGATCTTAAAATATAATTTAATTGTAAAAAGTTTTTAATAAATGCTAATCTGGCTCCGTCAGACGTGAACGAGTGCAGCGTGGAGACGCTCAACGACTGCCACGAGCACGCGACCTGCCTCAACGAGTTCGCCAGCTTCTCGTGTCGCTGCCTCCCCGGCTACACTGACAGGTCTGGCACTCATACAACCATGTATACAAGTCTACATAACATTATACAAGGCAATAACCACAGTTTGGACACTCGTAAAACCATGTTTACAAGTCTACACAACAAAATACCAGACAATAACGACAGTTTTGACACTCACACAACGAGGTTTAATTCAACACAATACGCTCATGCAACCATGTATACAAGAATATACAAAACAATAATGACAGTTCTGATACCCATGCAACTATAAGTATACAAGACGATACCAGCATCTAAAATATGACGAACGAAGTATTAATAAGTGAATACTTGAGGTCAAGTAATGAATATCATCTTCATGTATGTACTGTCGTTAAATTTGGGAGAAATTTTCGTCTGTGAACAATTAATGAAGCTTTGCCACAATTTACATTGCCATCTAAATTTTAACACGCAAACTAATTTTTCGCAACTAGTTTGTGCGCAACTGAACACAAACTGCTCTGAATTCTGCTTTGGTTTTATAAGTAATCTAATAACTGCAATACAATTAATGAAGTAGAATTCATCAATTAAATTTTGTATTGAAATATTTATATTTCTTTCCGACAGGTACGAGAGCAATCCGGACCGCGCAGGTCGCCACTGCGAGACCTGCTCGCCGGACCACTGCCATAAGCGCGGCGAGTGCAAGATCAGCAACGGCAAGAAGATTTGCGAGTGAGTGGTGACATCTTAATGCTAGTGGTGCCAATTATGATTAATTGTTGTCTAGTCTGAGCAGACATTAGATATATTAGTAATGGAGACTATATAGTAATGGTCGAGCAGAAACGTCTACATGCCACAAGACATTCCTTTTATTCTTTGACATTCCTTTTTTCTACTAACGGGTTTGTGAGGCAAGTGAAAATAGTTTGAAATTTTGCATGATACAAGGATTCTCAACGTTTAGGGATTATTTATTTGTAATTGTTTTATTTCCCATTTGTAATGATAATGAATGTCTCTGATTTATCTCAAGTGCGTCTCTGGTAATTGATTAAGCTTGCCGACGGTAACTCATGTCTGTTATTTGCCCCAATAATATCTTTAAGAATTTGAAATGATACATTTGTTCTTGTAAAAAATTTAACATCCACGAAATGCTGCACACGCAAAGAGTCGCACAACAGAGAACAGTCAATCATGTTTGTTATTTACGTTGTCGTGGTGCATACGCTGCCGCAGTTCCCACGTGCCAACCACTGCACAAACTCGTGTGGTCGTAAAGTTTGGTAGCACGCGTCTCTTGGAGGATAAAAACATGACAGGTGATTTGTGACCGTGAACTCAGATGACTTGCACATGGGACAGTGGACGTTATTTATATGACGGGACAGTGTACGTTATTTACATGGGAATTTACATGGGACAGTTTACGTTATTTACACTCGACTGACTCTACTGGACAAACTGACGATCTAAAATACTACCTAACGAAACGCATTTTTAGCCAGAAGCATTTGCTTCGTTCATAAATAAGACTATCAATTAGTATAGTATCTTCGGCATTAAATAAATAGGCCTGGATAGGCCTGTCGCCGATTCTTGTACTTTTCTTGACTAGACTGGCCTTACGGACGGTAGATTTAAAATCGCTTCTAGTATTTTATTTGACGCATCCTTAACTGTATTATAAACTTTTGTGTCATCGGCATACATGGAGCACACGCTTGACACTACTTCTGGTAGATCGTTTATATTAAGACAAAAAAAATTATATAATTAAAATAATAAAATAATATAATAAAATAACTTCAGACATGTTAAGGAACTTAAAGATAAGCAAAGAAAAATACGGATTCAAATAAACACGTAACTCTTATACGGTGTGGCGATCACAACAACATCAAGTGCTTCCATCGACGATTAATTGCCTAGCTTTGCTTGCTAGCGTTATCTGATGGCTAGTCCTCGCCTCTGGAATATCATTAATAACTTGAAATAATTTAATTGACATTAACCTCGTGTCATCCGATGCTGCAGATGCAAAGGTTCGTACTACGGCGATCGCTGCGAGGTGGATGGTGAGGTGGTGGCCGTGGCCGTAGGAGCGTCCGTAGCGGCCGTCATCATCATCCTGCTGACGCTGCTCTTCCTCTGCATGTGGAGGTGGTGACCGTGACAAACGAGCACTGAATTTAGTTTCCGTAATGTTTTCAGCAGGATTCAATGACTTTTGTAATGTATTGTTTTGAAGTTTTCACAGCTTTTTCCTCAAAAACCCTATTATTTTAAAAGTCGGACTAGAAAAATTAAGAATTAGATGAAAATCGATCATTTTAAAGGAAAAATTAGAAAATTGTTAACCGAACCAAAATGATTTCTGGTCGATAAATGTAATATAGAAAGGAATAGTGATTGTCAGTTATTACTTGGATAATTCTTGAATTATAGTTGATTGATAGCTCAAGTGATCTTTCCAAGAAGGAACCCAGAAGTATGGCTTTCACTTGATCTTTTCTTGGTATAGCTAAAGTTCAGGTATGATTCTATTCCAATTGTTCTACACCCCAACTCAAAATGTGTGACAAGCCAAGATGGTCGAATGGACTCGTAGTTCCCCAATCCGACTATTAGACAGAGTTCAATTTAATTCAATTTCTGCTTCTTTCCCATGCTCAAACTCAAGGTCTATGAATAATTTTTATGCTCTGGACAAATAAGGAAATAAATCCTTTGATTCATTACCCAACCTCTAAGATCAAGTATAATTTTCACTAGAGGTAGGGCAGGGATACAAATATTTCAATATCATACATCAATACTCAATTTTTTCACTCAATACTCAAAGACAATGCTATTATTCAATGCTTATGTATAATTAATATAATTCGTCGCAGTCGCCGCTGGAAGATGCAGGACCAGAAGAGCGAGACCCTGCGGCGCGGAGGCTTCCTGGCCCGCGCTGCCGCGGGTGGTCACTACCTGCAGCAGAAGTTCGCGATGGTGGCCCAGCCTCAGCCCCAGCAGTTCGGGCCCACAATGGAGGACCACATCCGCTGGGCCCAGATGAGTGAGGCCGCCATGGCCGCTCAGCAAAGCCTCTACGGAGTGAGTTTGTCTCTTGTATAAAACTTGAAAATTAGTGGGATTATAATTTGGTCATAGCAACTCACTAGGAGCAGTACTATCAAAACTCGCCTAAGTGCACGTAGCGGCCGACTTCTCGTTTGTGATTGGTTGGTTTAGCTTGAAAAGCCGTCAGTGATTTTCTGATGGAATCACTGACTCATAACTTTCTCTGATGGTTGGAGTTCAGTACTCTGAGGAGAGTTAGGAAGCTTTTCTCATTACCATTAAAATTTACTCAGAAAGTATCGATAGCTGTCACCATGGGCGTGATGTCAGTGGATGATTCGCCTCCACGTTGCAATGACTGCGACTGGGTTGCGGGCTGGCGTTTGTGGTGCACAATCACCATCATGGTGCATAATCACCGTCATGCTGCATAATCACCATCATGGTGCAGAATCACCATCACGGTGCAGAATCACCGTCAAGACCGGCCGTTCGTTGACCACCGGTAGCAATACGTGATGTCATTTGCAGCCCACGGTTATTTTTGATTGAAAATTTCATTTAAGTAAAATATTCAAGATAAGAATTTTAGAGCATTTCAATCGATGAAATGACGCTAAGAATCATTATACATGTATTTTAATTTTAAATAAGAGGAATGAACGGAATATTTCTTGCGGTTTGCACAGTGCGATTGCTTAGCTTAGCTTTGCATTAGTTATTGCACAAGTCTGCTCGAATATTTGTTATGTAATCTTTTTGAAGCGCACTTTTCGTCCACAAATATAATATAAACTAGTTGCAAAAACCTTGGGATATGATCGCACTTATTTCTCGCATCTTATTAAGCCAGACACAATTTAAACGAGACCATGAATTAGCCAAAGATTAGATGGACGTACAAATAAATTTTCGTATTGCCAGCTCACCTTTTGTATTCACTTAAAGGTATTAAGTAGACGATTTAAGCCGGTGCTTCTGGGTTTGGAGGTCATTCCGTTTCAGAAATCTTAAAAATGCTAATATTTTATTGTAGAACCTCTATTATGTTGCTACATTTGTTAGTTTTCCTCTCTTCACTATTAGATGGTTATTACTACTTTGCATAGTACTTGAAAATGTCCAATGAGTCGTTTAAAATAGTTGGAAATTTAGAAGGCAGTCGCAATCTCTCAACAACTTTTGATATAGTTTTAAACCATTTCAAACTTAATGGTATTGTTATGTCACATACCAATTACCATAGACTTCGACTTTGTGACTTGACTGAGACTCTTGGCCTTACCCACTTTGGCCAGACTTTGCCCGGAACGACCACCTCTCTCTACGGCCCGACGAACCGCGGCTTCTTGAACCGAGGCCATTTCCCTCCAGCACGACCCTACCGAAATTACCCAGAGTCAGTGTACTCTCGGGTGTCCAGGACTCTGTCTCGCCCCTTGACATTCCGTGACAAGTTCTTGGCTGGACTCCGATCTATTTTTTCACGGAGATCAAGCACTGAAACTATCAAGACTAGCCATGGAGACTTGTCGGCCTTCATCGTTTCTCCCAATCCTAACACGATGGGCATGCAGCAGATGATGGCGCTCCAGGCTCATCTCGCGGCCAACACCCAAAATGTACAAGACGAGTTCAACGCTCCGTTTTACCAGTTTTTTGACAGAGTCATTCTACCCTTATTTTGCGGGTACACGAGGTTCTTAAAACAGAGTTTCCCGATTTGTCTCCTACGACAATGTATAAATTTCCGTTTTACACTTTAGTCTACTCCCTTGCAGGCGATGAATTTTTCTTGGATATCGGATAAAAGTTGTAAAAATTGATAGATTCCGAGGTTCCTCACTGAGAATAGTAACTTTAATTCAGTTACTGAATGCCCCTTCATGATCTGTTTGTTACGTTTAAAACGTGTGTTCTATACAACGTTGTCGACTTGTTTGGTTAATTGGTTAGGAGTTTTTCTGTTTATCATGTCGTATGTCTTTTTTCATTAAGCGGTTTCCTTTTTTATGATGAAGGATGCCTGCAATAGCTTGAAACATCTGGTGCGGTATTTATTTCATGCCCACATGACCTCACACTACTAACAATATCTTCAGCTTGGTTTTTCATCAATGCATTCCCACTGATTTCAGTCTGATTGAAAATTTTTATGGCATTTTCACCAGATTTATACGTTAGAAGGAATCGAGCTATTGTCGGGTGGCAAACCGTCATCTAAATTTAAGCGAACTGCCACGATTCCGAAACGCTTGCACTTCAATGAATTTTTGAGCCTTGCTTGCTCTTCATCTTCAAAAAGCTTTTATACATGGCATGGAATCAGTAAAATGTCTTTCATAGGATTCGTCGCTGTTGGAATTATTTTTAGAATACTTATATTTTTTTTGGCAAAAGCAGTCCACATTTCGAGTGTTAAACTCTATCTAAAGATTGTCACATTATTGATCTAAATTCTCATGGTTAAAAAGATATTGGGCGTTTGTAGTGAAAATGTATTTCTTTGAATGAAAGTGTATGCATGTTTCTACAACTATAGTGGCAGTTGCAAATTGGTTTTCATTTTCACGAATTGCATGTTTTAAAAGATCGTTTGTTAATACGATTTCACCGCTTTGTTGCATGCATTGAACTTCTCTATATCTGATGGTTTAAATTCGGATATTCCATACCACAAGTTTACCGATGTGAATTAACTAAAGCTTATCATTCAACATTAAAATTGATATCTTGCTAAGTAACTGTTTTAAATACTTAGAAATTTGACTTGGAGCTAAATTAAATGAAGCTAATGAAGTTTGTACGCCCCTTCAGCAGGATCACCTCACCGGGAACGGCCTACAGCATCCCACGCCCCTGGGACCGCCTACGATGTACAAGCCTCATCGTCAGGTCGGTGGTCAACTATTTGTCTACGGATACATTAACATAGATACGCACGCTATTCGTACCTAATTATCAAGTAAGACGAGTTAATGGTTGACCAAGTAATGAGATTTACAGTCATTTGAGAGACGGTTGATTCTTTTGTCCACGGTTATACTAGCTGCCATCAAGGATATCTGTACCCAAAAGACAAGAAAGCAGAGTGACCGTCAGTTGCCCTAGGGTTAACCCTTTGTCTACGGATGCATGATCGTCCAAGGCTTATTCGTCCCTAAAGGCCAGGCAATGAGATTCTCCGTCAAGTGAGAAAGCATTAACCCATTGTCCGCGGAAACACTAAGAGACGTCAAGGCTATTCGTATCTTGATGTTAGGCAACGAGAAGTTATATTTGACCGACCAATCGTCGATGTCATGTGTCGTCCGGTTTCATGTCTGTTAACTAAGACTTTCCCTGCGGTGTAGAAGCGAATTATCTCAATCTGAACCTAAATCCGTTGATAAATTCTAGTAATTTTCTCTATATGTCCTTACAAATTTTAAATTTATCTTTCTCGGGGTTTGCCGGCTAATCTCTTCGACGTTTACATCTCCAAAGCGCCGTTGAAGTCATTGACTTGCGTTTAAAACGAATGAAGCAGTAACTGCAATTAATAATCCAAAGTGAATTGACCTTCAATATTATTTTTTTTTTGCATATTACAGCTTTTCTCATTCGTCACTCCAATGATCTCCTGCAATTTAATGACAAAATTGTCGGAAAGCTTTTTTTTATTTTTAATCTAATTAAGAATTTCGACCAGATGGGCAGCGGGACTGAGTACGGCCCCGTGTTCCCCCCCAACCAGTTTGGGGGATCTCAGTACGGCCTGCACCCCCTGAACGCCACACTGCTCCCCATGGGGCAGGTCCCTCCCCCCTCCATGGTGCACCAGAACTTCTCCAGAACTCCCTCCACTTACGGCCCCTACCCAGGCCCCGCCTCCCTCACTATGTGTGAGTGCCCACTAGTTAATAGAAAACCTAATAATTACATTATTATTTAATAAGGAACTGAATTATCCATAAGTAAATTCGTAAATTGGTTATTTATTTTAATTTAGGGGCTTATTTTTCTCAGCAAATTTTGCTGTCTTTTTGGTGCAGACTCTGCTGAGTCTCGGGAGTCTGCTTCTCAGACTCTGGCAGATTTTCAGGAGTCTGCTTCTCAGACTCCGGCAGATTCTCAGGAGTCTGCTTCTCAGACTCGGCAGATTCTCAGGAGTCTGCTTTTCAGACTCCGGCAGATTCTCAGGAGTCTGCTTCTCATACTCGGCGCAGCAGGTTTTCAGATTTATTGGGTTGGCTGGCATGAAATTTCCTTATCAAGTTGGTTTGCCCTCACCTTTATTCCTGAATAAGATCACAGAATGAATTTATCCATTCTGTAAAAGACATGAACGAGATGAATTACTGTAAATCAATTGGTCATAGATCTGGTGATCGAGGGTTTATAAGCGGCTGAGTGGAGAAGTTACCGTGGTTTGCTAACGCCGTGTAGCTCTCAAACTTCGAGGCTGCATATGGTCATGCTGCATATATTTTTCATGCTGGTTTTTGTTCATCCATTATTAGGTCTTTTCATTTAAAATTTCGTCTCAAGTTCCCATCAAGTAGGTTAACTCACTTCACACACACAAACACCATTAAATTATTTTATAGCGCCCAGGCGGCTCGAAGTTAACAGGTTTTGAAATACACGACGAAGAGGTTCCCAAGCGCCTGGTAGCTCTAAATCCCAACAAGACATGTGGACCAGAGGGCTTCCATCCCAGATTGCTCAAAGAATTAGCAGCCGTTCTTCTAAATTAGCATTGACAGTATTCTTTCAAAAAACCTTGAACGAAGGAACTTTGCCGCCCGATTGTTAAGAAGCTCGAGTAACACCATTGTTCAAAAAAAGGTGACAAGAGCAGCCCCGGCAACTATCGCCCTGTCAGTCTGACAGGTGTTGTTTGTAAGGTAATGGAATCTGTTTTGAGGGATAGGATTATCGATCACTTGACTGTTCACCATTTCCTATCAGATTGTCAACATGGCTTTATTGCCGGTAGATCCTGCACCACTAACTTATTGTCTACGTTGAACGATTGGACCCGCCTGTTGGACGAAAGGGAGCCAGTGGATGCATTGTACCTCGATTTTGCCAAAGCATTTGACAGTGTTCCGCATGAGCGGCTGTTGCGTAAAGTGAAGTCTTTGGAAATTGAGGGAAACGTGCCACAATGGATCAGAGATTTTCTTGTAGGTAGACGACAACGTGTCAGTATCAACGGAACCGTGTCAGATTGGGCATCAACAGTGCACTGTGGCGAGCCACAAGGAAGCGTTCTTGGCCTATTTTGTTCGTTGCTTTTATAAACGATCTGCCATAAGTAGTTTTCATTGTGTACTCCATGTATGCCGACGATACAAGAGTTTATAATACAGTGAAGGATGCGTCAAATAATGCTGACGAGTGTAAAGTACTTCACCTCGGAAAGAACAATGAACAGCAACAGTATGAGAAGACATGGTTGCAACGAGAGAGTAATGATTGAAAAGTCTAGTGTGGAAAAAGATCTCGGAGTTTATGTCGACAAAGAGCTGAATTTTTCTAAGCATGTTGAAACGCAACCTAATATATCCAACAAACTTCTTGGACTAATCAATCGGACGCTCTTACGAGTTCCTAGATGCAGAAGCGATGAAGCAGTTGTTTGTTGCTGTCGTGCGCATGAATCTAGAGTTTGCAAAAGTTGTGTGGTCACCGAGATTTGAAAAGGTCAAAAATTTATTAGAGAATGTTCGAAGACATGCAACACCGATAGTTCCAGGCTTGAAGAGCAAGTCCTATGAAGAAAGATTAAAGATTATGAAGCTTCCAAGCCTCAGTTATCGACGTCTGCATGGGGACCTCATTGAAGTATACAAGTATACTCATGGTTTATACAAGGTCCCCAAAGGATTACTAGAATTTGAAACAAGAACCAACACCAGGGGCCACGGCTATAAACTAAAAAAACTGCGCTGCAACTCATCCACGCGACAAAATTTCTTCTCGCTTCGGATCACCGACATGTGGAACAGCCTCCCTGATTACGTCAATGGCGCTCCGAGTATGAACGCCTTCAAGAACAGACTAGATAAAGCTATGGAAAAAGTTATGTTCAGATTTTAAATGCCCGGCACCATATCGAACCCGGTGGAAGTCTAGTAGCTATTTCAAACTATCGTCAGTCATGAAAAGATCCGGTCAAATGGCATGATTTTATATCTTCTGTGAACAAGTCACGAAAAGTAAGAATTGGCGACAGGCCACATCAGACCTACTGTTCAGCGCCGACATCACTGTTATGTTTTTTTTTTTTTTTTTTTTTTTTTTTTTTTTTTTTTTTTTTTTTTTTTTTTTTTTTTTTTTTTTTTTTTTTTTTTTTTTTTTTTTTTTTTTTTTTTTTTTTTTTTTTTTTTTTTTTTTTTTTTTTTTTTTTTTTTTTTTTTTTTTTTTTTTTTTTTTTTTTTTTTTTTTTTTTTTTTTTTTTTTTTTTTTTTTTTTTTTTTTTTTTTTTTTTTTTTTTTTTTTTTTTTTTTTTTTTTTTTTTTTTTTTTTTTTTTTTTTTTTTTTTTTTTTTTTTTTTTTTTTTTTTTTTTTTTTTTTTTTTTTTTTTTTTTTTTTTTTTTTTTTTTTTTTTTTTTTTTTTTTTTTTTTTTTTTTTTTTTTTTTTTTTTTTTTTTTTTTTTTCNCGTTTCCCGACTCCCGCCTCACTCTTTCTTCCGGAGCCACCAGATGGTCAGATTCAATAAATGCTCGAATCTGCCTCTTGACTTCTGTGGTTAGTGAGTGAGACGAACCGCTGCTCTCCGGCTGCCGCAGCGCGATCCACCCAAATGACAGCAATCTACCCCATGCTAATGGAGTACTGTCTTCACTTAACGCCGCCTCCAGCAGTTTCTGCAGAGCATCCGCTGCGCAGACCACAGCTCCCCGGGGCACCCTCTTCAGTGCTCTACCATTGGCACAACACCGAGAAACATACCCCAAGAAGTCGAAATCTACGGGTCTTTCTGCTATACCGACATTGGCTCTACCCAAGCACCCCGGGCACAGCCAACGCCCGAAGGCGTTTGCCTGCGCTCTAGTCAGCCCTACGCATGAGAGATGGTAACATCCCTCACACGAAGAACAACTAACTGTCCTCTTCCTGTTGTTAACAGTCGAGCAACTCAGGCACCCGCGTCCTCTCCCCTCCATCCCTCGGCCGTTTCCATAAGGTTAGGCGAAGACCAAGACGGAACGGCCGCTGTGACTACAATCAAAATTACGCTTGTGCTAGATCGAATACTACGTGCAGCCAGTCAAGCAAGTGGCACGCCGCAAAAGAATAACGAGCACACTCAGTAGAAAGACGTGTCAATAATAAAATCGCCGCGTCAGCAAAAACGAGACGAGAGAATGGGAGCAACGCACGTGCAAGGCAACAGAGCAAACAACAAGCAATCGAGGAGCTCTTAGGCACCACACAACCTGCTCTCGTGGATGCTCAGTTAACACTCTGTTATGTTATGTTGTTTAATCTGATTGATTTCTTTCACTAGTAATTTCCTTAAGATCTGTTTGTATTGCTCGTCTTATAATTTCTATCCATTTAAAAACATGGCGCATAATTCTTTGTGTGCATTACTTGTAGCCCAGAGCGGCGCCTCACGGGCCACTCTGCAGCTCTGTGGGCCCGCGTCAAGCGGGGTCGAGACAAGCTCTGAGGAAGAGGACGCCCGTCGGGGGGGACCCGGCAGTTGTTACCAAATCCCCAGACCAAAGTCCCGCGCATCAGTTGGGGTTTGTAGACTGGCTGGTCCCCATACTACTACAACTGGTCCTTCAAATAGTAGACTCGCCCGCAGCTACACTTCTCTACTCTTCTGAGTACCGTAACTTTCCGTCTTGGAAAATTGCACTCCTACTTACATGCTAATCCGGTGTCCATGTGAAGCTGGAGAATTGTAACTGTGATGCAACCACTACCACGCTTTGCTAAGTTCATCTAATCACTTTAACGTACAGCGTTCGAACATATGTATACATATTGTCAGGGTATATTCCTCAAATGGGATACACTATGCCAACTGCGGTCAATGTTTCACGTGTGGTTCGAAAATTTTTGCTGATGATGGATTATTATCTTTTTTAAAGTATTTTATTCGAGTTGAAAATCAATTGAATTTATTTTCGATTGACTGAATAATGTTATTTTCCCGATTCGTTTCCGATTTCTGAAAATAGAATTCAAGGTACTTTTCTTAAGAGCAAGATAGAAATTTTTATAGAGTATATTTTAGATTCTGCAGCGGCTGATGACAATTTTCACTGTACAGCTACGGTGGGCCTTAATTTCTTATTAAAATTAAAGATTTAATTAGATGAGAGTGTGTATAGAAAGGCTTGCCGTGTAAATATTTGTACATACGTTTTACCTGACGCAGTACTGCACGCTAACTAGAGCTTGGGTTTGAATTATATTGCAATGAAAACTAACATTTCGCACTAATTTCGTTATATTTCACAGAATTTGTCTGAAGTTTTCACTGAATAACTAACATAGCTTGGGTTATAACCTTTTTCAAACCGACTCCAATGCTTCAGAAATCATTTTAATGATGGCTGCACTCTTCCTAACCACTAACGCTTGAAGTCCAACTCCCTCTAATCACTGTTCATGAGAAAAGTTTATGGAACATAATTGAGAGAGATGAATTCTTTGCCCTTATTTAAATTCAGAAAATAGGCACCTTATGCTGACCAAATAAAGACATTTCATGCTTATTAAGAACAGTCATTTCATGTGAAGAAGAAAATCAAGCACCTCATGCTTAGGAAAAACAGTCATCTCACGCTAATTGAACGAACAGGCCTATTATGCTTAGGAAAGACCGGGATCTTCTAGCCGCTCTGATTTACCCGAGTAGCTTTCATTGAGCGACGAATTTCCCCACTAAGGCAGTGACGTAGAGAAGAAATAATTGACTGGTTTGTTGCAAGGTTATTCCTTCGTGAACTATTGACAGTGAGGACAGCTATGGACCAAAGTGGGTGGGCAGGGTGGCCCAGTGGTTAAAGTTCAGAGTACCAAGATTGGAGCAGAGAGGCACGGGTTCGATCCCAGCTCTGTGCGCTAGTTTCTGGTCGGAATCGGCAAGGAGGCCGGGCGGTTAAGCACAGCAGAATTGAAGCAGTGAGTTGTGTGTTCGAGACCACATGAAGCTGTGAACGTTATGCGATGTTAAGAATCGGCGACAGGCCTACGGCCTCATAAACGCGGAACAGCTATTCATTTATTTAACTGATCGTGTGTTCGCAGGCCACCAGCAAGGAATGTCACGGCATCGAGTGGACAAGGAGGCAGCGTGCTGCTGACCGGCATTCTTGATTCCATTTTGTGCTGTCCATGCGTTCGTCGTTAGTTAACTTGAAATCAGCATCAGCTGTGAGATAATTTAATAATAATAAACGGATAATTCTTTATGGCAAATGGGGAATAATGTGCCACCAATTATGGGAGGCTGGTTGGATTGATAACAGAAATTCAACTTCGCGGTTGAAGTTCAAACTCTGACCTCGCACATCGACTGAATAGAATTGACGCTGCCCTTTGTTATAACCAGGAGGCAATTGTATAAATGCCACAACTTCAGTAATTTTCATTGCCAACTCTATTGCGTGCGTGAAGAAATTAGCATGAATGAAAAATGAAAATTTAAACATTATTAAAATATACATCAGGCCTCTAAATGCTCTAATTGTGTGTTGATATTTTGATATTCACTGATTATATTAATCAAACGCGTATCATGAATAGGATTACGTCATGGTATCATTTTTTATATTCCATAGTATTACCGACCGTCGCTGAATCTCATCAAACAGGCTCATACTGCTGAAGGCAATGAATTATTTAGAAGAATATTTGGTGACTAGGATCTGATCGAACGAGTCCATTATTTAAAGTTTATTTACCTCTAACATTTTTGAATGACTCGAATTCATAATTTTTACTTATTAATTCAGGTACATGTATGGGCATTGAAATTTTGTATAATAATTCTTCTTTAACCGGTTCTTGTTTGTTCCTTTTCATCTGGTTCTTATCTTCTGTTTGGTGTGGGCACTTAATATTCTTGCATGCTTTTGTTTTAACCCTTCCACACGTTATTTTCAACTCTCACATTCACAGAATCAAAAATGGTGATAAAAGCTTTTGTAGGCGAGTCGAATACCATCACAAGCAAGTGAATCATTTGAAGTTTAAACTTTTGAATTTTTCGTCGAACATTGAGATTTCATGATCCCAGCCTGCAAACCATGTTGCCAGAGGACCTGCCCTATAAGCTGTTTTTCGATCATCTGTTTCAGTTTAATGGAATCCAGCACGATTAGCTTGTTAACACAGTTTCCTGATTCTCTACTTGCACGCGACTAACTTGTACAGCAACTCTCATTCTATATTGCTTTTCAAATGAGTTTTTTCGTGAAATCCATGTTCTACAATTTGTCTGTTTATAACAATCTGGGATACACTGCGAGTTGACTGATTAATTATTCAATTGAAATGCATTTCTGAATTTTATAACAGTCGAAAAATACACTGCAAGAGGCTCAGGCTCAAACATATTTTATCTAATTTGTCGAGCCATCAGAATGAGGTGGCCCAATGTTGACATACATTTACATGTGCAGCACAAGCTGCCGCTCTCGGTACAAATTTATCAAACAGGTTCTCACAAATGTGATGGATATTATCCGTTCGTACGAGCCCAGTACAGGACTGGCCCCCTCCACAGTTGGCTTGATCACAACGGTGTGTACATATTCATCCTCTTCTTAGTCTATGTTCCTATAATTTCTCCCGCAGGATTCCAGTGATTTGTACTACGAACTTGACGAAATGACCAACCCTCCTCCAAACAGCGGTGACTTCGCTCACTTCAACACAATTCTTGCTCACAGTTCTTCGGCTCAAACCTTGGCACAAGCCGAGGTTCTGAGAGCTCAGAGGCAAAGCTTCAGGCTCCCCTCCCACCCCCCTTACCCCAGAGAACCTCCTCCCCCTCTACCACGACATGTATATTCATGTTAGATGTCATCTTCTTTTAAAGTTGAGGCAACTAAACCGCTGCATTATTTTGGAAAATGGACGCTTATCTCGCTTGTACTTCTTCATTCTAGATTATCCATTTGGTGGCAAAATTAGCCGAGTAAACAGTTATATGAGCATTACAGTCATCGTGCTATGTTTAGACTTGAATGCAAGAACGCAATTGAGGATTATATGACACTTTTGGCAATTAACATGAACAGCTGGAATAAGTAATGTTCATTAGAATGAAAAAAGTTTGCTCGCAATCGCAGAGTATGAAAAACGTTCAATGATCTAATTCTAACCGAACGAGGAAATCGGTTACAAGCGATAATTCTGAAAAAGAACACGCAAAATAATTCTGCATTTAACTTTATGAGTAACAGATCGAGTCTCGCGAAACATCTATACGTCGCTCTGAACGATGCACCAATATAAGTTGGTGCTGACAGTCCTAGAGGCTTCGTTAAAATTTATTTGAGTTTTGTGTGTTGCAGCAATAATGAATTGTCGGTCACTGAAGCACTGATTAACGAAGGCCATACGGAATTAAATATAATTTTAAATACATTTTTCACACCATTTCTGGAGTAAAACAAAGATCATGATCTTGCCAAAGCGTTTCTACTTTACCCCGTTTCGTATGCTTGAATTTCCCGACATTCCCGCTACGTGAGACAAAATGTACCAGCTTAGTATTTGCCATTGCAAGTCAATCCTATCCCGAAAACGCCGAACAAAACTGTCATGTTTGTAGATATGAGCTGCCGATATACCGCTTTTGGGTGTAACCTGCGTGAGTATAACCATGAAGAGAATTCCTTGCATGCGACTTTGACTGTGACAGTAAAGTGTATAATAGCTAGTCAAATGACTGTGCCTGCAATGAACCCGACTGTTGACTTGCCCTCTCTTATTGTGTTTGATCTTTACAGTTAGTTCCTTGCACACTCTGTCGAAAAATGTTGCAATCTCCCGCATAAAAAAAATAGTTCCAGAAACTGTTAGATTCTGCTGATCCATTTTGTAAATATTCCTGTCCCTGCTGTTTGTCCATAATTTAGCGCTATAGACCTGCATGCTAGACAGCTTTTTAGAATATCGATACTCAATCTCGCAATGACTTCAGCTCGCTCGACTTAGAATTTAAAGTTCTAGCCACGGATTTGTGAGTCTCCCAAATGAGCATAGGATCGTATGGCTAAATTAATGTGGTATAAACTTAGAATATTGATGTATACGAGATGAATCTCTGCAGTTCATGTAGATCATCATGCAATACATGTCCAGTTTCATTCCCTATGTACCTCGGAAATTATCCTAGTAAGTGCATTAAATTATGACGAATTTAATTTTAATAATTTCTATTGATGCTTTGTAAATTTTTTAATGCCAGTTCAAAGGGGAAGATAAACAGTGCTGGTGTCAATATGATTATAGATTAAATATAACTAAATGAGAAATTATTTAAGGATTTTTAAAAGAATGTTAAAAATATTGCATGCTCTTTCAATACGTGACTGAAAACCGTCGCCAAAACCTCATTTTTCAATATTTTGTAATAAAAATTTGATTATGAACGTGCATTGAATGCTGCGACTAAGTCTTGCTGAATATTTATATGTAAAGCGTTAGATTGCGTTATGTATTTATTTTAGGATATGAGAATGTTTTTTTGATTAAACAATTAAAACTTTGTTAATATAATTGTTTTGTTGTTTTATTCCCTATGAAACAGTAATAGAATGAGTACGGCCATCTTGTATGACAGGATGCATGCGTAACTATGTCCAGTAGCAGCTTGTGAGCTGAAGCATTGTTGGTTTAAAGTTCGTGTGGTGAGATGTGTCAATTGAGTACAGCGCTTACGTGCTAGGATGACAATATCTACAGCATTAAGATGGTTGATGTTGGCTCCAGGGCTGACTTGAGTGTTAATTTGCTGGTCTACGGCTGCGCACCCGTCCTGAGCCCAGCATGATCTTGAGCCCAGCACGATCTCGAGCCCAGCACGATCTTGAGCCCAGCACGATCTTGAGCCCAGCACGATCTCGAGCCCAGCACGATCTCGAGCCCAGCACGATCTCGAGCCCAGCACGATCTCGAGCCCAGCACGATCTCGAGCCCTGCACGATCTCGAGACCATTACTTCCTCAGGCTCCCGATGATGAGAAGGGCGCCACTCCTGCCACGGAAAGAATCGTGCGTCGCGGAAAAAAGCGACGACAAAGTTTCTTGTATTCATAAACAGTAAATGAGACACCAGAAGAATAATTTAAACTAAAGGCATAAGTTGATACGACTTTTAAACCAAAAATATTGAAACCTAAAATCCGACGAAAAAACAATGGAGAGGAAAATTTTTTAGACGCACTTGAGCGTGAAGAGGGAGTACAAGTATTGACAGTTTCCACCAGAGATCATTTATTCAATATGAATTTTCAAGCTACTTAGGTACTTGTTCCAGCAGTACCAACTTGATCAAGAAGCATCTGAAAATGCCATTTTATTACATTCCAATTGGTAATTGTCAAAGTGCATCAAATTGTTCTCACGTACTCTCATGACAAAGAATTTAAATGTATTCAAAATTAGCCTATTTGCATGGATTTCTCAAGTACTGCTGAAACTCATTGCTGTACATATAATATTTTTTCCACATGTCGTCTCGACTCTAACCTACGCCACCTCAGACTCAAGTCTCAACTAATATAATATTCTATACTTATAATTTACTGTGAACGGTCGAGATAAAAAATATGGTACTTTACGAGAACTATGCAAGCTGTTGACTAAATAGCACAAGCAAACGATTGCGTCCGACAATCTCAGTGGGCTACAAACAAATCAATTAGCCCAATCGCTCATCACAATAATTCATTGTAAGCTCATGTAAAACAACATAGCTACTATTTATTTATGACTTGATGATCGAGCAAGACTTTTCCATCAAATGTTCTACAAATTTTTGTATTTATTTTTAAGGAAAGCACAACAAACAATTAATCCAAAACGATCTATTCCAATTCAAAATCATAATAAAAATAACGCATTTATGAAATAATGAGATAGATACAATGGTTTTCATGTCCATTGCAATTTTCTTCTACTAGATGCCTCCATTAAAATATTCACCGCCGAAATGTAATCGACGAACATTACCGATGACGGTCGTACATATTCAACATACATATCGCTTGACGGTCACACATATTAAACTTTCAATGACTGTTCACCACTCGAAACTTCCATGAATGCGACTCGGTCATTTGATGTTCGGGTAGAGCTGCACCAGACAGGGATGCAGAGCGCGTAAAGCTTCGTGGTAATCGGCACGTATCCGCGCACTGTGGCCCTCATGCCGAAGTCTGGCCAGGAAGCCTCTTCTGATGACGGCGACTGAGCTATCCAATATTTAAGGCGGTAGGTTCTGTGTCTGCATTATTTAACCAGGATCAATTGGGACGCACGCTCTCCAAGCCCCATGAACTATCTTATAGGCTTGCATTGTTTAATTTTTTGGGTACGTACAACATCCGAATCGCTACGTCAACTGCATAACAGGTTGGCCAGCAATAATTGGCAACTGGCCAGAATAGATATCGCGATTGGATAGATGGTTTTGCTGGTATTATTACAGAGGAATTCAGTAACCTCCGACAGGATTGTACATTGCGCGTCCGCAAGCTCCATCACAGTGAGCTCCATCACCTTGTCCTGCGGCCCGGCAACACGAACGAAGGCAGGGAAATCCACATCTTGGCGCACAGTAACTTCTTGGCGACAATCTTGCCGACCCGGTTCGAGATTACGATGAACTTCGTTTTCGATTTACCGAACTTATCCGGGAGCTTTGCTGTGCGTCAGAATCACACGAAGCTTATAGGGGAATCCGCGGAAATTAAAAGCCCGAGTTGAAATTACCAGCTGTTAACTGAGACCGCTTGGCTTCTTGTGTGTCTGGACTAGATCGAATCATTATCATTTGTCCTTGGTTTCTATATAAGCCGTTTCTGGACTCTCCGATTATATCCTGATTCTATTCGGATTTCGGAATGACCTAGTGGATTGATCACAACATTGATTTGCTGCGGCCCAAAGATCTCTTACAGCGATGGAAGCTATAGCCGACATATAGGTGTTATGTTTTATGTCCGTCATATGTTTATATATATAGGTTTTAGGTTTTATGTTCGTCATAGTTACGCTCACTATCTGAGACATGCGAGGAGAAACTTTGCTAATCAGTAAGATGGTAAGTCATATCCCTATTAGACTTATTCATCTCATTCAGCTGGGGACCAGACTCGCTGCTGTTCTACGGATGTGCTGCAGGAAGACCTGAGTGACTCGACATAGGGCCATTTGACAGACGGTGACTTGACACACACTGACTCGCCAGGGATCGACCTGGCACATTTCCTTTTTCGTCCGTGGCTTCCTCTGCGTGGCTCGTTCTTAAATCCCTGCTATGTTTATTTTCAGTCGTTGTGCCCGGGCTTCTACGCTACTAGTTTGACTATTATGTGGAAACATTTTCAGTAGGGACTGAATTTTCTTAGGGTTTACACCTTAGAATCAGCTCCTCGTTTTGAGTCCGGGATGTCTCGTACTGTTGTGATTTTTAAAGAATTTCCTATGCCTTGAAAAATTCTGTTTCCTCTTTAATCTGTTGGAGATCAGACTTATTTGAACGAGGAATCTAAGAAACCTGTTTCACGTAGCTCATCACCGTCAATCCGATTTTCATTAGTTTGGCTATAAATTTGTATTGTGTAGTATGATGAACGAGAATTTAAACGTGGACGTATTTCTGTGTTTTCGGCCTTTGTTTCATACGCCGTCCTTGTGCCGTCAGTGTCATAAAATTCAAGACTGGACGAAATACTTTTCTCCACTCGTTGTTGAGATTTACTGCCATACTTGTCTTCATTATGTAAATATTGATTTTCAGTCTGCAGAGCCTTGTCTTACGAAACAGCTGGGGGCATTTGCACGTGAGCTTCCCAAATGACGCGTTCCCGTTATTTCAGTTTAACCGTGAGTTTATTAATCAATAATCGGTGCAAGCGACGTTGACTAAGACGCTCTCGAAGGTTTGGAATTACGTGAAGCATAGGACGGATTTCTGTAATGCCCGATAAATTGATCACTTCTAGCACTCGAATTTTATACATATTCTGGGACTACACCTTAGAAAGTCGAAGTTGAATGTAATGGCAATGGTGGCTAAGACGGATTTTTGAAGAGGGCTTCTAAACTTTCGCGTTTTATTTTTGGATTAAACATAAGATCTTTGCTGTCTCCAACTGCCGTATTCCTCAGAATTTGGGAAGTTTGAATATTCTGAGTATGAATGGAATTTCCATCGACACCCGAACGTGCGGTGAAAATCAAAGGTTCCATAATTGAATTTTAAATCTATGTTTTTTGTGGGATGGTGAAGTTATGGTCAGGCTCAGTTTTACTTTTGCGTATCTGGGTTCCACTCGGAAACGATTTCTCGATTTTTAAGAGTTTCCAATCAAAAATTCCGGTTCAGCATTGAAGTCTTGATTTTTAGATTTAGAACCAAAAATTCTTGCCTGACTCGGGCGTTCCACCATCGTGCCCTGAATTTAAGTCTCATGTCGACTGGCATAGTCATGGCCAGACTTAACTTGATTTATGTTTTCTGAGCTGAAAGGAACGGGCGCTGATCTCTGAGATGAAAAGTTAACAAGCTAGGGACGAGGGCCACTGACTTCTTAATTTTGAGACCTGGTGCCACTTGTCCGCGTTTGTTCTTCTGTAACGTTCAACCCTGCATGGATTGTATTGACCATTGGCTTCACTGAATGCACTTTTTGAGCGTACTTATTGGTCATATTGATTTTCATATAATGTTTGGTCTTAGCTCCTTTTATTGAGATCGGGTTACCTTTTGTATGTCTCAACTGAAGATTCAGACAAAACGGAAACCCACTGTTATTCATGATCTCTCACGGCAGATATCTGGTCGTTTTAACTTTTCTATACCTCCTTTTGACCACCGGCATTGACTTCAGAAGTAGGAACCTTCGTTTATGACGAACGGTCATTGATGGTGTAAGCAAGAGGTGTATTTTGGAGAGTAGCCGTTTAAACTTCGGGTATTCGCGCTTTCTGGACATAACGCTTCTAACGAGGTGCCTTGTTTCTGAAGAAGAGTGCGTGGTCATTTCTTCTGTGTTTTTTCTTGGTGTCTCGTTTCGTTGCTGCCATCATCGCGTTAGGTTAGCTTGGCTGAACTGAGGGCGGTTGGCGCTCATAAGAACCGGACTTTTGATCATGATGGCTTCGTGGCAAACAATTGCGCGACGGTAACTTCTCGCGCGCTCCGTGGATGCCAAACTCCTTTGGACTGTTATGAACACTACTTTGAATCGTCGCGTAGTTATTGTCGTTCTCTGAGAAGTTACTTTAGATGCAAGAATATAGATCATCTGGCGATGTCTTTTGCGGCTCCATCGCATTCTTCTGTAAAGTCTCTTGCAAACCTTGACATGTTTCGTATAACAATTTTAACAACACCATTTTATTCTCGACAACATCCAAATCTTTAGTGTCAAGAAAATCCTCAATTTATTATAGATCTCTCAGGTTCGATCTCTCAGGTATAGATCTCAAAGCTTGTTCGATTC